AATATAAGTCACTCGCTTGATTGTCGGAATTTGATCTTAACCAGAGGTAACTGTTTCAAGCAAACGTAGTGAAAACTCTCACTATAATGAAAGAAGCAATCGCGTGTAACCCTGTTTCTCTTGTTTGTGAAAGGTAAAACAATATGAGAGAGTGGAGAAGGGGAATCCAGGGCATTCCGGTAAGGCTCCTGAACATAAAGTCGGGAGGGAGAGGATTTTAGCATGGCGTAACAACCGCTGTAAAACAACTGAGGAGCAGACTATGAGACGAAATTCATAAGAGCGGCTCTTAGGTGCAGGGCGGTGAAACTTGCTCTCCGCAAGTTAGTAACACTTGGACACGAGAGACATTGAATTTAAAGTTATGACGGTACGGTTAAANCAAGAGCAGTACGTGCCTTTAAGGCAGCTGGCGAAAATACTTCCGTTTCTCTGACTTGTCACTTTTAGGTGTGGCCAATTTTCGGAAAATGTCAACTGGTGCGACGATGGCAACCGAGTTGGTCATTGTAATGTCGCGTCCCTTTGGCATTAACAGAGAATACAGGCCGGAATTTGATGCTGTTTATTTAATCCTTTTGAGGTAAACGTAGCTCAGCGAAGGAATGGGTTGATGCCTCAAAGGCATATGATGGCTTGCAAAAACGCGCAACTGCCTTTGGTATGTAACCAAGCAGAAGCACAATTGCAGCCGCGGTTCCTCCTTCATGGGTTTGTAAAGGGTGCGCACTGAACTGTAATCATTCACTCCCGGCTACGACTACCCAAAGCTACCTGTCTCCGCTCACTAACTTTAGTCCTAATATTTCACCTATTCATGAATAGTAACGAGGTAAGAAATCAGAGTTGATAGTGGTCATGAGAGTCACCAACGATGAACGATCAGTCAACGTACAATAAATAGGTTGGAATGTTATATAACAGACTTGGACAATAACATAAATACATTAGATAAAAAGGGGGAATTGATTATTGGGTAACCACCCAAGTTGTTTGGCGATGAGTGCAGCAGTACAGGGGATAATGATTACAAGGATTGAGAATAAGGAGATTCTGACACAGAAGCGGTTACGCAATGAAAACCGATTCATCGAGAAAAAAACTTAGTTGAAAATGGTTACGTAATACCAAATTGTATCCCAGATCGGCTAATGACACCTGCTTTGGCAAACCTCAGCATCCTTGGGCTTCGAAGTTTGAGGATTACACGGAAAGATTTGAGTTTATTAGTTGTGAAGCACATTGATCGCAGGTAAATCCAAACTTCGTTCCACTCTCTATCTTTTATCCGGAACCCTCTCCCTTTATCCTTCTTTCGACCAACAGCATTCCATCGGAAAATTGTTTATCATTCGTCAAACCTCGGTTCCAATTAAGTGGTTTGCCATCCAACAAAATGTAGATCCTGAAGCCTCGCCAACAACATACCGCATTCGCAATATGCTTTGTAGCTTCGAGGTGCAAAGTGATGCTGCAATACTGGGAGTCACCTAGTTCCACCTTGGAAATAAATCACCAGGAAACAGTTATATTGGATTGTCTTTCCTCCTTAGGTAGTTGCGTGACCCGTTTCTGTAGCGCATCAAAGAAGATAACCACCAGCATTCTCGAGGCTCTAGCCGCATATGCAGAACTAAACTATCTTCTTCTCGAAAATGCGACGTTTTGCTGAAGTTGAAAGGTCGTGTCTATAGTTTTACAGTTTGCTGCGTTCTGCGTTGTGATTGTCAGACCTTCAGTATTAGAACAGAAGACATCCATTGATTAGAAGCTTTCAATTATCGATGTTCAAGTAGTTTGTCTCAGGTGGAATTGAGCGAACGGGTTAGCAGTTTGGAAGATATCCCTTGAGGCATATATCTGGAATACATTTACGACGCATCGAATTCCGATCAGCAGATCAACAGATGACGTGAAGAAGAGATGTGAAGAAATGCAGAGCGTGATTATGTAGAGCTAATCTGTCTCCCTCTGGTATTCTGGGTTGGGGGCAAAAGACTCTGCAACTCGAGGCTAGTTCACTATTTTATCCCCACGTCTCCGTTTCGATGTGTCCTTTATACTTGTCTATCATTCATCTTTTCCTCGCTTAACGATTGCTGACCAATGCCAGCGGTCTTTGATTACGATGTTTGTGCGAACCGCCATAGCCGTCTGCTGTTCCAAGTGTCAGATCCGAACAACGTTCGGAGTGTATCGAAAAATCGATGCGCCATGTAATTTTGAAAACACAGCGATGTCGGTACAGGTGAAAATAAGCCGACGTTTCGGTTACCGTGGGTAATCTTTATCCAGGCGATTTTACAATCGAAACTGCTGTTCCGTTTCAAATTTCTTATGTTGTCATGCATTTTCAAGTTGTTTGAACTACCTCATCGGTGGTTTCACTCATCCCCAAACGATGTCAGGTCGCACGATGACAGCAAATTGATCTTGCTCGGTGACACAAATTCCGGGTGAATAATTTTAAAATGAATCATTCAGAAATAGAGTCGACATTCAAACTACACGTTCAGGACTGGCAAAGCTGCGTCTGTCAGTTGTTGTCGCAACTGAAACACTGCTTTTTATTTTAAAGCGATATCGTTCGTTCCATGGCTCGTCAGATACGTGAACTTAGGGGACTATTTGATCTGATAGGAATCACTAATCGACCTAATTAAAACGATGCTGAGTATGATAAAACTGACAGCAAAAGGAACCGATTTAAATGTATATGATGATGAAAGAATAACCCAAAACAAACGTAGCTCTCACTGCAACCGACAACACTTACTGGGATTTGATGTATATAACTCAATGGCGTACTTTACACAGTCCATCCGAGAATAAACGGTAGAATATTTCAGGGTTCCAAGTATCTTGTTAATGTCGTTGTACAGTATGTTCGATCTCAACTCTCTAGCCACTTACACGATATTCCAACTTTAGTAGTTCAGACACCATTTACTGTACAATTCACATGTCATACACAATGGAACGGTTAGGATCCGTAAATGTGGAAAAAGCTTCCAGCCACAGTTGCAACCATCGTATGTACCTATACCACCATCATCTCATTTGATGCGCAACCAAAGCTTACAACCGAAACCTGAGAGGTACAATCCATCGAACCTCATTAGCAGCTTCTTGTGCCTTTCGTCTTTTTGTTGCTGTGCACGAAAAGCTCGTGTGGGATACACTTTGGAGTGCGCACGAGAGACTTCATCGAGTACGCCAATAACAACATCGCTACCTAAAAACCAAATACCTAGTCCATTGTTGGATATGACTTCAATTATAGAGAATGCCACGGAGTTGAATACACCAGATAATAGCCGTATCATAGCGAATCTATTCTACCTCATGCTCGATCATATGCTCAGTACAGTGATGGGCACACAGCAGTAATAGATTATAGTGCCGTAACCTATTCACATGAGGAATCAGCTTGTTAGGTTTTAGAAAGCGTAGAAAGTGTTTTGATTGATCTTATCGAGCAGCACGTGCCAGTTTTGAAACGTGAATAAATGCAATGCTGCTGAATCACCATGCGCCGGCTTTGTCGAACCATATTCGTTGCAGGCACATGTGAGGGCGAACATACGCTGACTACAGTTTTTGAAGAACCGCATGGAATGTCAACATGTCAGGTCATTGGATTCCTTCAACGTGCTCACTACAAACTCCAGATTCAAAGCAATCCATAATCTGATTCCAAGAATACTGCATTGAGCTCGAACGATAAAACTCGAATATGATGACCTCGGTCAATGAGACGCGGTGAGACGCAGCAGCACATGCTACTCTTGATGGAGCGCTTTAGTTAGGCTGAAATTTATTTTGAATCACCTAACTCTGCGCATCACCACACAAACAGTGCTCCTAATTGTTATTATTCATTTGCACACACGTATCCTGTTTGCCTTCTTCTAAGCAGTTGAAGTTGATTAATGGGAAATGATTGTGAACACCTGATATAACCAGGCACGGTATGTCTGAAACTGACTTAGGCAATTAACTCGATCAACCAACTTCTTGAGGAGCGTTCTTTGCATGTTTGTTCAAGCAAGGGATTGAGGGTTGTGTAACAACGACCAATTCACAGCAATGCGTGCAATTAAGGAACGCACTCATTCCAATTCTGATTCACCCCATTTGAGTCAACGACTGATTATTTTTTGTTCACGTTAATACGTTTCGAACAGTTCATGTGTATGCGAACTGGCTTTGTTAGCTGTGATATAAACATCTACATGTCGAATACTGCAGATATATTTGGAGTGAAATATAATCATAACGAATCAAATGACTCGACTTTGTGCCTGACTTCAATCTAGGAGAAGGTCTGAATTTTAATGTGCATGCTGTAGTGATGCAGATAAGTGACATTTGGACATTAATGAACTAGTTGAAACGTGTCCACAAATTTGACTCGTCATTTCCACATTCGGATAGCATCAGCGTATGAGAATGTGCGTTCGATTCCGATTGAATCGCCATACATGTAGTAAAGCAGACATTATCGTTACACTCTAGATTCATCCGGAACGCTGCAGACCTATGATGTTTCGTTCCATAATAAGCCATTTTTTTGGAGCACACATCAGCAAACAAACTTTCTTTCGAAGACCATGCCATTGTTGTGATCAAGTTCGTTTCATAAGGTACGCTGTGAAGATATTGAAAGACAAACGGAAGTGATAAAATGACGGTGTAAATTAGAAAAGGAAGAACCGGGATCACGTCTTCATGTAACACGTGACAACTGGTCGTGGATCTAGTGCACTCGCGAACCATTCCTGATTGAAATATTGTAGGGAGTCATGAAAACGGAGTGCAATCACAATGTTTATTGACGGAACAAGAGACAAAAATAAATCCGATTTTTTATTAAATTCTTGTTCACCATGTTATTATGCATCATCATGGAAGTGATATTGCCTGTTCATGTTTAGAAGTGGCGCAGAGTTTGTGCATCACGGGGTGTTGAACAAGTTCTACATCCAATAAAGCTGAAATCAATCTCCAATTATCTGACCGGTGGTCCAGTTAAAATATTTCATTATATATAAAGATCTCGTGCTAGTAACCTTCCGCAGTTCTTCAGCCGTACTGACTCCATGGGCGAAATGCCACACAGCGTAAGTCGGTATTCCCATCTTGTAACGCATAATGCCCATGTGAGAATCTTCAGCACGCAGTGGACGAATGAATGCCGAGGCAATGGCTAGGTCTGTCACAATATTGATTCCTTTGATGTACGCATGGCCACCAAAGTACGGCGGATAGTATTTCCATGGAAACTCATCTTCCGATATGGCCCACCGATTATGATATTCTTTGATTGGTCGCAATACCAAATGGCCTTGAAGACGGATACCGAAACTCAAATCCGCTAATATTTGTGCAGGAAATCCCCTTACTAATCTGATCAGATTTCCGGGAATCACGGCGAAGTCATGATCCAGAAACAAGAATAATGAGGATTCATGGGTACAAAATGCGGAGATCCAACGAAATATAAATGCCTGCTTCAGAGTCAGTGAAAAATAGTGATCCTCAAAATCGCCAATCAGTATATCATCAAATTTATTCGCCTCCGAAAACAGTTCTCTTTCGCTGTACTCATAGTCTTGCTTCTCATTACCATGACTACGGTGGTTCACTGATACTCCATCAAAATGAATATTTCCGGTGTAGTTTCTCGCGGGAATTCCAGTGACAAACACAAATCGAATCCGAAAATCGCCCCACAAATGTAGTTGCATGTAAGTTGCACGAGCCCAACGACGATCCTCTTGGCAACGAACGCAGGACTTTACCACGACAACTATCTCAGATCGGATTTTTTCCTCTCTGTTGGATTCGCAGAGGCCTGCTGGTGCTACAAGAATCGATATGTCTTGATCGTTTATTGGCTTCTGAAATGAGATGCAAAGATGAATAGCGTGAGAATTTTTGTTCGATAAAATGCACTGCATCCTTACTACAAAATACGCTAGTTTCATTGGAATAATGTGTTTTAATCAAATTTCAATGTATAAATAATAAAAACTATTGTAGTGTGATTCGTTTGATACCGAGTCTAAACTCACATATGTGAAAATATGAAAAAAATATATTACTAATTACATAGTTACACTTGGTCAAACATAGGAGTTAAACATTGTGGTTCGCTTGGGATCATTGCCAAACACATGACTCATCCAGATTCATGTTTGACCGTATTGAAATTGTTTCATATAAATGTGATTGTAAAGGCTTGAATAGGATATACTCTTGCATGTTGGCAAAACTCTGTGAGATCGTTTCCAAACGGGACGTCGCGAAACATTTTGTCCGTTTCTAGCAGACACTGGATATAGTGTACTGTGAGATGACTGACAACAACAGATCATTCAAAAAATTCAACAACTTCACCATCGGTGTTTGATGAATTTTACTGCATAAGGGCTGGAGGTACAAGGAGTTGCATTATGGCGTTGTGCCACGCAAAGACAAATTCATTTATGTATGATTTAGACTATTACGAATAATCTTTCTTGTCACCTGATTTTGTATTTGAATTGAACTATGCGGAACGAGCAAATTAGAGCCAAATTGGTATTTTGCTGCATTCATTTAAAAATGTGAACGGTCATAAATGTATCAGCAAATAATGTCAAAGATTCGAGTTGGGCCACATGGGTATGGATAGTCGTCCTACACCGCCTCCAATGGCTTAGTCACGTATTGCTTATGTCCGCCCATCGACTACCTTCCCGTGATCTCTTCACACGTGACGGGCAAGGCTGGAAGAAGTGGTGCGGAGGTCAGACCATGGCATGGCGTAAAGACATGAAGAAGCTGACTTCAGCTTTGGCTTCGGTTGGTGCAGCCTGCCTTGAGGTTTGAGGCTCAGAGGATGAGGGTTGTCGCTGTTTAGAGACACTAAGAAATACAGCCCACAGTAGAAATCAGTGACGCGAATGCCGCTTCGGTCTGCCTGTCGAAGTCTCGTGTAACCATCACCCCGAAAGAAACCCGATAAACTAACAAAAAAATATTTCAAAAAGTTAGAACCAAGAGAAGACAAACACTGAAGAATACTGCATTTGTCTTTTCTCGGTTCTAACGAATTGGATGAAGGGGACCCGATGTTTCAAATCGCAAAATGTGTAGCGTGAAACACAAAAAATTGTTATTTATTCGAAATTTTCCATTTCAACAGTTCTGACTTTCATCAAATGTTCTCTATCCCATACCCCTCTAGCTATTGTTATTTCTATTATTGTTGTGGATACAACTTGCTTGTCCGCTCCATGGGAACCAGAACGACAGACCGGCCACTTACTTTCGTATCTGCCATATACACGCTATCTTCCCGAAAATACATGAAAATACCGTTGAATAATCGCTAATTAGTTAATATACTTACCCGAACCACTTTTTGTCCTTGACGTACTAGTGACACTGTTTCCTCGACATCAATCAA